ATGTCTTTTTTTCTAAACAGATGATGTCCTCATTTACAGGAAACGCTTCTTCAAAAGATGGGTGTTCATGTTGATCATGTCTGTATATATCTGGTTTCACTCTGATCCTTTAAAACTTCAAATCATATAAACAAACCTGCTGTGTGTCTCACGGTGCAGCATGTCTTTACATCCTTAGTTTGCGTGTGCATTCACCGATGTGTTTGCATTGCAGAAAGGCTTTATATATTGCAATGAATGTATAAACATGTTTTTGCTATCTTGACACATTAAGATGTTGGTATTTGCACCGTGTTGCTGATAATCAGGGTAATAAGTCTACTAAAATCCACTAAAGAGCTCAAGTAAACACATATTTTAAAGATGTTTTGTAGACACATTGATTTGATGATATTGTGTCTTCACGGCTCCACTTGCATTTCTAATGAAACGGGCTGTTTGTAGCATCAACATAACAAAAGTGTTATCCGTGGTTCTGTTGCTCGTTGCATAATCCTGCCTGACATGTCTGCAGTTTATTTTTACCACAAGATGAACCTAATTGTGGCTTCACAACTGGAGGCATGAAAAGCAGGGGATTTGTATCACAGCAAAAATAATTAAAGCGTTTTAAAATCATTCATAACCAAGAACTCACAGCTACTTTACATTTACTGCCTTGTATTTTTTGAATGATGTGCCGCTGTGTCTTTCATGACTTAAAGGGCCCATGTCATGCTTTTCCGGTTACTACCCGTCCCCTTGTGTGTTATGAAGGTTTTTCTGCATGTAAACGGTCTGCAGAGTCACAAACCCTCAAAGTACACCCTGTAGCGAGTAAAACTCTAACACAGGAAAGACCTGTCTATGCTGCCCCAGAACGCCTCGTTGGGGATTTCTCTTTTTCCATTGTTTGCTTCCTGGGTACAGTGACGTGCCCATACCCAAATGGACCAATCCGTGGAGCCGTTACGTTACGTCCGCTGAGCCGTTACGTTAAGTCCGTGGATTGGTCCAAATTGACCAATCCACGGACTTCCTCACACACTCAATCTTTTCTCAGCTGCAGCTCTGCCGATTTCTCCTCCCTGAGACGGCGGGACGCGGCAAGGCTGTGAGTCGGTGTGTGAGCACACACACAAACTCCCAGCCAGGCTGCGGGCGTGTGTGTGTGTGTGTGTGTGTGTTCAGGATGGTTTCGCTGTGTCTCGCTCGACGGCCACTGGGCTCACAGGGGGGGGGGGGGGGGCAGGAGCTCCAACAAGCCGTTTAGGACAGAGAGTGAATACACATACTATACAGAGATGCTGTATGAGAAACCAATGTGAGTTTGGAAAATTGCACAATATACATTTATTTTAGTAGACCTCAACAATGGAATTATGATCAGTAGAAATGGCCATGACATGGGACCTTTACATAATTGCCATCAAAGGAAACGAGGTGACTCTTCAAGTACAACCATTGTGAGTAATACAGAATGAAGCTTTATAAAGTCATGTCAAATGAAAGCAATGCATCAGACGTGCTCATATGCAGAACAGTTTTCATTTCTGCTGATGAACAGTACTTGTGCTAGAACTTCTGGCCCCTCTGACCCCCCTTTCGGACCCCTTTAACTCGCTAAAAGCCACTCTGAACACCCTCAGGGGATTCAGGAAATTCCTACTAGTGTCTCTGGAGCCTGTATTTGGCGCCTCAATCCCTCAAAGTGCACGAAGCTGAAAACAAGAGGCTCTTTACAGAATGTCTTCTGTAATGTACAACAGACTGGAGACAGACAGTCTCTCATGTTAATGTCACTCACAGGAAGTCCATGACTGCATGAATCCAGACTCATTATCACAAAGGAAAATGCACATTTACGGACTGAACGAAACACTGTGGGGGAAATAATTTGAAGGCTTGATGCTTCTGCTGTCTTCTTGGATGTGACACATGCAGAATGTTTCTCTATTCACTCAATTCACATTCAGTTAATAAATAGCCCAAAAAAATGCAAGTAATTCAAGAAATTATATTTTTCTGATATCCTGTTTTTGCCCCACAATCAATCCATTCGGTTCAAAGATGTGCTACAATATGAAGGCTCAGGAATTTGAATTGAAGGCAACACAAAGCTCATTGTTATTTTCGAAACAAACCGATCCGTTTGAACCTTTCTGAACCCAGATGTATGTCCTTTTATATTTACAGGTTGTTTCCTGCCACAGGAAAGCAAAAAAACGAGCTCAAAATAAATCACATTTTTCGAATTTTTTCATAATTTGTTTACTATTTTTATATAATATGTAGGTTTTCACAAGTCCTTGAGTTACATTTAATACCATTGAAAATTACTGGAAAGTCCTGACAAAAATATGATAAAATTGTTTTAAATAAATCATGTATTACAGGCCTTGATGTCCCTTCTTGTTTATTCAATAAGTACTTTGCCGTACTTAGTTCTGATGAACTCTTTAGTTCTGATGAACTAAAGAGCAGATTGCGTTCACACCGGAATAAGTTCCCTGAGGGAAGATTACGCAAATGAAGCCTCTGACGTCACTTCTTCTTCTTCTGCTTTGGGTTTACTGGCAGGCCGCAAACAACTTCACGGCGTATACTGCCACCCGAAGTCCCCGGCCGGAAGTCCCCGGAGTTGGGGACTGGCTTCCGAGTAAATCGACAGAACGCCGACACCTCCTCATCACTCCACCGCTCCCATGTTTTATTTTGTGTTGCCATAAGTTAGTCTCTCTCCGTTGGTGCGCGGAGCTAATGCTAATGCTAATGCTAATAATGTTAATGCAAGCAAATAAAATGGCGGCTTCACAAAACTTTTTGGGAGTTTTACGGGGCGTGGTTTGCAATCCGCCCAGCCAATCAGAAATGGGAACCTTTTTCTCTCATGAAAGTACCTGCTCTCTAGCAGGGACTGAAAAGGGGGTGAAAAGGTTCTCATGAACTAAATTCTAGTTCCGGATTTTTTTGGTGTGAACGCACATTTTCGGAACTATATCGGAACTATACTTGGAAAAGTACTCCGGTGTACTGTAAAAGCGCCTATTCATTTACCAGCATTAGATTATAAAAAACATGTAAAATCCTTATCTATGTGATGTTAAAATGTTCTAAGGAACTCTAGAATTGAATTTCTGTAGTTTGAACAGGCGTCTTTATCTTCTGCACTACAGCTGATAAACAGTTAACACATGTACGCTGCAAACAGTAGAGCAATTAACCTGAGAGTAACCCCTGCTTCATTTTAACACACACACACACACACACACACACACACACACACACACACACACACTGTGCCATGTTGCCAGGTCTCACAAATGGCACCAATTAGTAGTCTTTTTAATCCACTCTGCTGGTTTATGAGTGGTTTTATCGACATGCTGTGATTCTTATTGTCTAGGTAGTGTGTGCATCAGATCCTGTGGTGTGTTCTGGTTGAAGAGGCCCCTTTTATACTTGTTGGGGTTTTCCCTTCCCTTTAGTCGGTGTGTTATACAGGTTTTTGTGCATGGACAGTACATGGTCTGCAAATGCTAAAATCCCTGTGTTACCCCCACACACTTCCCCCTTTTTGAACATTAAGCATTGAAACATGTCACAGTAGACGCACAAAATACAAATATGAACCTGAAAATATAGAATAATAAGTAATCTTTAGGTCCTGTATTGAATCAAGACCCGCTTTTAAAAGTAGAAGCATGTCTGAAAGTAATGAAAGAAAGTTTCGTCACTATTTTCCGCTCTTAGTTCACTGTCCAAAAGCAAAAAAAGCAGTTTATAAACTAAAGAATGTGTTTGAGCCTGAAAAGTGTTGCAAGTCAAAAACACATTCAGTCCAACAATGTCTTTAACAGAAAATATTTGTCTGGGTTTTACTGCAGGACAAACTCTGAGGATAAACATGTCAAGATGGGAGTGTGTGAAACGACTGATAACATGCCAGCAGTGTAAACCACCTCCCACACACACACACACACACACTCGCTCACGCTCACGCGCACACGCACACGCACACACACACACTCACACTCACGCACACACTCACACTCGCTCACACGCACACGCACACACACTCACGCACTCGCACTCGCACTCGCACACACTCGCACTCGCACTCGCACTCGCACTCGCACTCGCACTCGCACTCGCACTCGCACTCGCTCACACTCACACTCACTCACTCACACTCACACACTCACACACTCACACTCACACTCACACTCACACTCACACACACTCTCACACACACACCCCTTTTTATCTGTATTTCTGTTCTTTGTTGCTACTTGGTGAAGAAAGGATTTGGTTTAAAGAAAATATTATGACATAAAATAAGATTCCTGCTCTTGTTCCAGCAGTAAATATCCCTCTACTACAGCGAAGAAAACCAGAATGTAAGCGGGGAAATGAAAGATAAATGTGTTGACTCTTTAAACGTCTTGAAATGTTTCAGTTTGACGTGTTGGTGAACTTGTTACCTCGGATAAAAGAGGCTCAGGAAACGACAGCTTTATAATCCCATCCTGTTCGGTGTCAGCACATTTAGACTGGATTCATGTTGCCTCTTATTTATATTGTCAAAATAGACGAGCGGTGGCGAAAACTTCTTACATTTCCATTTTCTACGGGAGCTTTCAAAACTGTGTAAATGCAGAAATGATTGTTTTCCACATTGATACTCTACTAATGCTAATTTCTGTTCTCAGTGCTCCATGTCTTTTGAGTTTGGCATTTTTTGGTTGAGATTGCGCTTACTGTGATACTGGATATTGCACTTTGCGGTTTGGATAAAATGTCCATTCGATTGTGCTGCTCTTGTGACGCCACACATTTAAAATTCAGCAGGACAGCATCCTAATATTCACACTGGCCTCAGACCTGTTCACGTGCCATTTTGTGGAATAAATTACTGTTTAATATTTAGCGTTTTTCATGTTTTCTTAAGGTGTGAAATGTGTTTTTTTGTTGGACTTTTTGGTTAACCTGTGTGTGTCTCGTTGTCTTTCTGTCTGCAGGGTGCTGGTCAGGAGAAGCTGGGCATCTACGTCAAGTCTGTGGTGAAAGGAGGAGCAGCGGACGTGGTGAGAACACACACAAACTGCTATTATAACAGAAAAGCATGAGGAAAAACACACACAGTGACTCATGATGAGGGGTGTGTGTGTGTGTGTGTGTTTGCAGGACGGTCGTCTGGCTGCAGGTGACCAGCTGCTGAGCGTAGATGGACGCAGCCTCGTCGGCCTATCACAGGAGAGGTAAAGACACGGGTCAAATTACTGCTAATATTTCGATGTTTTGTTTGCGGAAGACACATTTAAAGGGTTCAGTGCTCAGAAATCGAGAGATATGATAGTGTGCTTACGCTCATTTCCATTCACACAATTAGATATGGTTAATTCCCAGATGACCTTTAAATGAATTATGGTTGGCAACAAACTGATATAACGATATTGTGACACTAGATATCACTTTACATTTTGGATATCTTAAGACTGTAAGTGTAGGTTTTAAAGGCTACATGGCTGTGAAATAATGTATTTTTCTGAATTGACTATCTTTTCTGTATTTCCATTAGTCATTAAATCCACATTTCTGATTATCACTTCTCAGTAGCAGACAATTAACAGGTTTTAGGGAGTAAAAAATATATAAAATGGAAATACGCTTAGTGAGACAAGTGCCAGTACGCATTTCAGATGTTTGCCGCACAGTTATGTGCACCCGTGAATATAAACACATCAACGGTACAGATATATACGTATATTGACAATCCTCCAAAAACACGTAAAAGGAGAAGTGGGGACACGTAGTATTTTTGTGTTTATATCCTCAACCACCTACCCGCAGAGTACTGACGTAGTTATGGTCTCGCTGATGACGAAACTCTGTTTGAATTCTATTTTGGGAATTGAAAACATTTGGAAAACTTTAATATCATGTTGACGTCAGATAACCACATCTTGGACAGAGACCACAGAGTTGCGGTTTTTGCATTTGTCCTCGTGAAAAAAAGACAAAACTTTCCAAACATGTTTAAAACACAAGCAGAAAAAGGGTGTGTGTGTTTTGGCAACAGCAGAGAAGTCCCTCTCAGATTCATCCAGTTATTCCTCTTCTCCTCTGCGTACAGACTGTGCGAGAAGTCAGACTGGATTTACAAACAATTTGCCTAATTGCTTTTGCATCCAGGTTGCAGCACTTATCCTATGAAGCCATTACAAAGTTAATCAGAGTGGATTTTCCTGTTCAGTTTCCCCCTCCTGCAGGTGACTCCTTGCATGTCAGGATTTAGCATTATTTGCAGCCTTAATGTCTGGTTGATGTCAGATCCTGAGATATTTCCAAACATGGGATCAGAGCGTGTTCTCTGCTCAGCATCAGGCTGTTAATGTTGCATTCCCTGAAATCCATCAAATCAAACCCACATGGCTCATTACCTCGTGTGATCTGCCTCTCAGCTGTTCAGAGGATTTGCTGTAAGCTCTACGCACATGTGGCAATAACAGAAAATAACACAGAGACTTTCTGTGTGTTAATATGTGTCTGATAAACTGCACGATTGTTCCCAAATGAGTCTCTGGAAATGATTCATATATTCCTTGCCTTTTCTTGATCATAAAAGCTCCATAAGTGTGTCTTCAAACAGGCGAATACGTTCATTATCTTCCAAACTTATGTATAATAGTCCACTGAAAGAATCGATATAATAATTTCTATCATACTTTCTAATCATCGTGCTGTTAAGAAGGCCTATACTATACTTTACACAGGTTTACTAGCTACATAAAAGATACAATGGTTAAAGTTATCTCCTCCATAACCAGCTGCAAGAATGAACAATTAATTCATCAATAATTATGATCCAATAATAACCCATACGTTATTATAAAATGGGCCATACTGCATGAGCACTTTTACTATCACACACACACACACACACACACACACACACACACACACATACGCGCACACACACACACACGTTTTATTACATTGATAGTATTTGCATTATCATAGTTTAGATTTATGATATCCATCAGTTGTGTCAAACTTAATTTCTTGCTTTGTCATACTGTGTGTTTGATATGGTCTTGCCAATAAAGCTTTGAATTTAAACATTTGAACATTATGATGCTAATAGTTTTGCTATTTTATATATATTGCTATTTCTCTATCTTTATCTAGAACTATATATATATATGTGTGTGTGTGTGTGTGTGTGTGTGTGTGTGTGTGTGTGTGTGTGTGTGTGTGTGTGTGTGTGTGTGTGTGTGTGTTGTGTGTGTGTGTGTGTGTGTGTGTGGTGTGTGGTGTGTGTGTGTGTGTGTGTGTGTGTGTGTGTGTGTGTGTGTGTGTGTGTGTGTGTGTGTGTGTGTGTGTGTGTGTGTGTGTGTGTGTGTGTGTGTGTGTGTGTGTGTGTGTGTGTGTGTGTGTGTGTGTGTGTGTGTGTGTGTGTGTGTGTGTGTTTTCTCAGGGCTGCGGAGTTGATGACGAGGACGGGTGCAGTGGTGACTCTGGAGGTGGCGAAGCAGGGAGCCATCTACCACGGTCTGGCAACGCTCCTGAACCAGCCGAGCCCCTTGCTGCCCCGAGGTGAGAACACACACATGCAAACTGTTTAAAAGTCATTCATATTTTGCATCTGACTTATTTATTTATTCGTTTTTTTTGCAATTGTACAGTTTATTTTATAGAATAACGTTCTTGTTTCTCATGAAATTGAGGAACCTTTTACTTTTGGTGCTTAATGATGTAGTTTAAAAACTTTGCAGATTAATATTCTATTGATAAAAAATGTGTTTGCAACGATTTTTATAATCAAACAATCGTTTTTATGTAATCTTTCAATTAAAAAAAGTCTTATTTTGTTCTTCCAGTCTCTCAAGTGAGAAAACGGACTGTTGTTTTTTTTATATTGAATAAAAAGATGTGTGGACCATCACTTCAGACATGTGTGCTTGTAAAAAATGTGATGTTCATTAATCAAGAGCAAAATACAATTTGCATTCCAGCTGTTTGTCACGTCTTGAACAATCATGACAATTAGAAAAAGTGTTAAATGAAAAGCCAGAACAGATTGTGCAGCTTCTGTGTAACATGTAATGAATGGACTATTGTCAGTTCCACCATTAGTTAATAACAGCTTCTGGTGTGAAAGAGGAGAAGCAGACTGGTCCAGACACTGAGTCCTTGTTGTCTTCTCTGCAGCCCCGTATAAAAAAAGTCCTGCAGACTGAAAGACATAATGAGTGTTTGTGGCTACAGACAGATATGTGTGTGTGTGTGTGTAAGCGTGTCCACACACACATACACACATGTTGGGACAGAGTTTACGGGGTTGTCTGGCTCTGTGCTGGTCTTTGTCCGCTGGAATGTGACCCCAGATTCATTAAGGAAGTCTTCTGCGGTGCAGGATGACGCTAACGGGTGTTTCTCCCTCGACCACAGCCTGTTTTCCAGTCAGACGGTGAAATGTAACCTCCGGGCTGTGAAGGACTCCGGTCACTCTTTAGTGTTTGGAAACTGGACAAGTCAAAGTGTAGATTCTCACAGAGTCAGGGAGCAGACATAGAGACTCAGGAGGGAAGTCGTTACACTTAACTCTCTTTTAAAAAGGGGCCCTGTTAGGCTTCTCTGGGTTTTCCTTTTCCTGTAGTGTTATATAGGTTTTAGTGCATGTAAATGGTCTGCAAAGGCTAAAATCCCTCCAGAAAGAGAAGAGGTGCTGCAGCACAGGCAGTATGAGAAGAGCTTTTTGAACATTTAAGCATGGAGACATGTCAGAGTAGAGACACTACATGTTGATATGAACCTGACAATAAGTCCTTTTTAAGGTTTTATATTCCTAAAGTAGGAATGAATAATAATTAATTATATTTAGAGAGCACCCAAGGACACCTTACAATTCATAAAATGTTCTAAGGAAAGGTTTTAGACAGAACAAAAGGCCCGTAACATTATTACGTTTGAATCACCCAAACTGCCCAATGATTTGATGTAATGTCAAATCATTGCCACAAAGTAAAAGAAAATCTGCATTAAGAAAATAATGATAGTGATATTTGTTATTACTGCAACAACAAATTCAAGCGTCCATTCTCTCTGTCTCGTCCCTCCAGCTGCAGACCGAGGGCGTGATAAGAACGGAAAGCTGCGACCAAAGAGCGAGGGCTTCGAGCTTTACAACAACTCGGTGCAGAACGGCTCTCCGGAGAGTCCGCAGGCCGGCTGGGACTCGTACCCCGAACCAAAGAAGACCAACGAAGACCGGCTGCTCAAGAACCGAGCCGACCACCGGTCCAGCCCCAACGTAGCCAGTAAGACCCTCTACTCACAAAGACTTTCTTAACGGTCACCTATTATGCAAAATCCACTTCTTCATTTTTCTTCTACATCAACATGTGTCCCCTCTTCTTCATGTCTCTTCTACATCAACATGTGTCCCCTCTTCTTCATGTCTCTTCTACATCAACATGTGTCCCCTCTTCCTCATGTCTCTTCTACATCAACATGTGTCCCCTCTACTTCATGTCTCTTCTACATCAACATGTGTCCCCTCTTCTTCATGTCTCTTCTACATCAACATGTGTCCCCTCTTCTTCATGTCTCTTCTACATCAACATGTGTCCCCTCTACTTCATGTCTCTTCTACATCAACATGTGTCCCCTCTTCTTCATGTCTCTTCTACATCAACATGTGTCCCCTCTTCTTCATGTCTCTTCAACATCAACATGTGTCCCCTCTTCTTCATGTCTCTTCTACATCAACATGTGTCCCCTCTTCTTCATGTCTCTTCTACATCAACATGTGTCCCCTCTTCTTCATGTCTCTTCTACATCAACATGTGTCCCCTCTTCTTCATGTCTCTTCTACATCAACATGTGTCCCCTCTTCTTCATGTCTCTTCTTCATCAACATGTGTCCCCTCTTCTATCATGTCTCTTCTACATCAACATGTGTCCCCTCTTCTCCATGTCTTCTTCTACATCACCATGTGTCCCCTCTTCTTCATGTCTCTTCTACATCAACATGTGTCCCCTCTTCTTCATGTCTCTTCTACATCAACATGTGTCCCCTCTTCTTCATGTCTTTTCTACATCAACATGTGTCCCCTCTTCTTCATGTCTCTTCTACATCAACATGTGTCCCTCTTCTCCATGTCTCTTCTACATCAACATGTGTCCCCTCTTCTCCATGTCTCTTCTACATCAACATGTGTCCCCTCTTCTCCATGTCTCTTCTACATCAACATGTGTTCCCCTCTTCTTCATGTCTCTTCTACATCACATGTGTCCCCTCTTCTTCATGTCTCTTCTACATCAACACGTGTCCCCTCTTCTTCATGTCTCTTCTACATCAACATGTGTCCCCTCTTCTTCATGTCTCTTCTACATCAGCATGTGTCCCCTCTTCTTCATGTCTCTTCTACATCAACATGTGTCCCCTCTTCTTCATGTCTCTTCTACATCAACATGTGTCCCCTCTTCTTCATGTCTCTTCTACATCAACATGTGTCCCCTCTTCTTCATGTCTCTTCTACATCAACATGTGTCCCCTCTTCTTCATGTCTCTTCTTCATCAACATGTGTCCCCTCTTCTTCATGTCTCTTCTACATCAACATGTGTCCCCTCTGTGTAAAGAGATTCTGAAAGTTTCAGGAACAAAGATTCTCTCTCTTTTTGTCCTGATCCATTTATATAAAAACCTGTCTGAAAATGAGCTGATCAGATTTTGGCCACTTTATGATGTCATAACGATTTTTTGGCTTGTGTAACCATTAGCCAATCAGCAACCAAGGTAACCCCCCCCCCCACCTTATCACCTGAATCTCCTCCTAGAGCACCATTGTGTTATTTTTAACCAAATCTCTCTCAGAGGGGTGTGGGGAGGGGCTCCTTATTTTCATCTAAAGTAACAGACAGAGAATCAGCACTTTGGAAACAGGGCTGAAACAGAGGGGATTATGGGATGCTGCAATGATCTGTTTGGTATTTCAGCCAATCAGAGACAGGCTCTGTATATATCTGAGACCTATAATATATTGATGAAAAACAGTATGATAGGGGACCTTTAAGTAACTAAAACGACATGAAGTCCAGTATATATAGTGTTTGTGTCTGTATTCAAGACACATGTTTTTTGGGTGAGCCAACTGACACCAGTGCATTTATACATGTTCCTTTAATTGGGTCTGTTGTTCACATATTGAAATGTAAAATGAGTATTTAAGAAAAGTATCCATGTTTCAAATTGTCTTCTAACTACTGCTCACATCTATTTAATGCATTGGAGTTCTTAATTCATAAAAAGGATGGCATGTGACATGAGTTAAAAGATATGTTATATTTGATCACATACTCATAGCATTATTAAAGCCGTAAATTAAGCAGAAAATCCTCAAAATGACTTGATGAAATGAAACGAAATGGAAAGTATCTGTGGTAAAAATATAAATAAAAAATGATGGTGGGTGTAGACTTGGCATCGGCAGCAGTGGAAATAAGGGGAGAGAAATACTGGTGTTGTTCTTTGAGTACTCCACCCTGATTTGGAAACAGTGGCATAACACTGCCTGCAAAAGTCTTAAAAAAACAACCTCAGAAACCACTTTCAGTAAATACTTTGGGTACTTTTTGAATAGTTAACGACTCCTTTGCACCTAGAAGTCTTTAGGTAATTGCACTGTTAGTGAATGCATTTTAAATAACTTTTCTTGGTAAGATTTTGATATCATAGTAAGGCATTTTTTGTCATAGATGCAGCAGTGCACTCTTAAGTACAGACGGTAGTGTAGGGATGTATGTGCTTAGGCCAATTCAGAGCATCAAAAACAGTCAAGTATTGTATTTAAATATTTGTCTATTATTATATACATGTGATTTTTGAATGAAGTCCACATTGGTGCGTAAAAGCAATGTTATTTCAAGTATTTCTGCTGCTCTCTCTGTCAAAACAAGGCACACCTTTTAGACTTGTTTTTAATATGGCTTTCTTTATTCTCCCCCCTCCTCAGATCAGAGCCAGAGTCCTGCGAGCAAAGCGGTTTACCCCGGAGGACCCGGCACCAAAATCACCTCCGTCTCCACCGGGAACCTGTGTGCAGACGTGAGTCACTTTATGATGGAAGTCAATGGCGTCTCTATGTGGAATGTGCCACCAGACGAAATGTGATTCGAGGACACACAGAAATCTAGAGCAGAGATGAGGAATCCTCTTTCCTGCCGATAGAGACGTGCATGTGATGATGTATTTTTGTATCTCCCTCGACAAAAGACAATGAGGTTTTTGAATATTGCAGAAAATAAGATCTGTGGCCAACGCACATTTATGATACTTACACGTTTTGGGTGACAGCAAGACAATCTCCACTTATTAACACCACTTTCAAGAAATAAAACTCTAACGTTAGGCTGTAAAGGAACTACAGCACGGTCACATGACTTCACGTCACCACCGCTAAGCTAAAGGCGGCTAATGTTGGGCTATAAAGGAACTACAGCACGGTCACATGACTTCACGTCACCACCGCTAAGCTAAAGGCGGCTAATGTTGGGCTATAAAGGAACTACAGCACGGTCACATGACTTAACGTCACCACCGCTAAGCTAAAGGTGGCTAATGTTTGGCTATAAAGGAACTACAGCATGGTCACATGACTTAACGTCACCACCGCTAAGCTAAAGGAGGCTAATGTTGGGCTGTAAAGGAACTACAGCACGGTCACATGACTTCACGTCACCACCGCTGAGCTAAAGGTGGCTAATGTTGGGCTGTAAAGGAACTACAGCACGGTCACATGACTTCAAGTCACCAGCGCTAAGCTAAAGGTGGCTAATGTTGGGCTATAAAGGAACTACAGCACGGTCACATGACTTCAAGTCACCACCGCTAAGCTAAAGGTGGCTAATGTTGGGCTATAAAGGAACTACAGCACGGTCACATGACTTCAAGTCACCAGCGCTAAGCTAAAGGAGGCTAATGTTGGGCTGTAAAGGAACTACAGCACGGTCACATGACTTCACGTCACCACCGCTAAGTTAAAGGTGGCTAATGTTGGGCTATAAAGGAACTACAGCACGTTCACATGACTTAACGTCACCACCGCTAAGCTAAAGGTGGCTAATGTTGGGCTATAAAGGAACTACAGCACGGTCACATGACTTCACATCACCACCGCTAAGCTAAAGGCGGCTAATGTTGGGCTGTAAAGGAACTACAGCACGGTCACATGACTTCACGTCACCACCGCTAAGCTAAAGGCGGCTAACGTTGGGCTATAAAGGAACTACAGCACGGTCACAATGTTGGCCGTGATTGACGTTTAATTTAGACACTTTTTTAGAAACCTCAGTTTAAATTCACCAGTGGGATATTTACTGTATTTTATGTCGTAGATTTGATAAATCATATATATTGTTAGCTTGTGTTTACCATACACCTTATTTCATTATTACAACCAAAAACACATTCATAAAAAGTTGACTTTCGGAGGAGTGAACAGGAAGCGCTAACTAGTGTCCAGTATTTAGGAGTCATTGCTTCACCACTCTGCCTGTTAAGTATTGGAAAGGTGTCCCAAATATTTCCATCTCTCACACTAATTATTATTATTACGTTTGCTCCATCAGGACGAGCCCTCCCCCCCCCACGCAGAGGAGTACCCCATCCCCACCCAGACCTACCCCAGAGAGTACTTCACCATCCCGGCCTCCAAGAGCCAAGACCGGGTGGTGGGTCCGGGGCCGGGACCCCCTCAGCACTGGCAGGGCGTGGAGGACAGAGAGCGCCTCCCTGTGGTGGAAAACATCCACAACAACAACAGCATGCAGGTAAGAGCAGCTTCAGACACCAGCTTCACTATCGGAGAATACCTACAATAATATAGGAAATGCTTGAGTGGTAATTCTAATGTAACTTTTCTAAAATTAACCGAAAATGAACAGAAAATGTTTTTTTTGTTGAAGGGACCACATTCAGATTCTTATACCTTAAATCTAGGATACTAATACCTTATTTAAATGTATTTTTATTTATTTTTAATACTTTTATTTAACCTACAACGGCCCTTATAATGCCTTTGTATTCATAGGCATATACAACTTTACATTTCAACTGGTTTGCTTTAAAAGTCAGTCGTTTTGTTTTTTAATTTCCAATGTAAGTACATTTGAAGATAGTCTTGGATACTGAACAACTGGTGTCTTTGCACCGTCTTCTACCTTTCTCTTTTAATGCGCCCTTCTCATTTATGTGACTACCATTTTACGTCTCAATCTTTCCCTGTTCTTTACTTCATTGACGTTCCAGCTTCTCTTGCCTCTTACTCGATGTCCTCTTCTCTTCCCAGCGGATCAACCACTCCCAGGAGGATTTGTACCCCCCACCAGGAGGCATGAGGACCGACATGCAGCCTCTCTACCAGCAGGACTACCAGCCCAGAGACCTGGACTACCAGCTGGACTACCAGAGAGGTCCCCCAGGAGGTAGGAAGGCAGGAACCCTCAGAAAAGAGGGGCTGGAAAAACAGCAGATGGTGTAACAGCTTAGTGGGTTTATCCATCCAAATGTAATCAAATTTGATATTGTGGCTTATGATTATGTAATAGAGAGGCGAATCCCGCCCATCTACTACCCATGGGACCTTGTATCGGAAAAATGATGTATTGAAGTCAATGGAGAGAGAAAGATTATCTTTCGATCCCGTTTGAATTGTGCCACGAATTACACAGATGATGTTTGTCAATTTAAAAAATCATTTCCATGTAAAAAAAGTCACAGTTTGTCGTAAAACTGTTGAAATATAAGACTATGAAAAATACGCAACTAGAAAGACTACAAATCCCAGAACCCCGGTCCCGCATGCTGGCTCTTATGAACCGACTAACTCCCCTTGTGTGTATGTACAGCTCTCAACATGCCCAGACTTGGAGTGATTTTCACCTCTTTTAATACTTTCCGCCTCATTCTGAAAGAAAGAAGTGAAATGTGCCAACGTGACGGCCGTCTTGGTGTGTGGTGCGAGACGGGAGATGTAGTTCATTGAGCGGTTTCACACCAAAAAAAGTGTTACTTCACAGTTTTACGACACATTTTAATTTATTTAACTTGCAAAATGATCTTTTAAATTGACAAACATCATATGTGTAATTCGTGGCACAATTCAAACGGGATCGAAAGATAATCTTTCTCTCTCCATTGACTTCAATACACACTTTTTCCTAAATAAGGTCCCATGGAGCTCCCCCGGAAAGGGAGGGACTTCGCCTCTCTATTGAGATGAATCGCAATATTTGATCCAGAATGACAAAGCCAGGAGAGGTGGCATTTGCCCCTTAATCTGTAAAATGAGAAATCCTGCAGATTGGTCAGTCACTTTCAGTCTGCTTATCTTTTAAAAACGTTGTTATAAAATAAAATAAAATGTTAGTAGCACTAACTTATTTAAAGCCAATACTGTAGCACTTCCAATGGTTTGGGATATTGAAAGCTTATTTACCTTGACACGTTGCTTTGCATAAAAACATCAGGAAATGTATTGTATATTCTTCCTGATCTCACAAAAGCCTTCTCTCTGCAAAGAAGGGTAATATGCCAATGCCAAAGTTCCCTCTGTCTCTCCATCTTTTTCTTGAGCATATGCATTTAAATCTTAGCTTCAGACATTTGTGGGGTCAATTTCCATCTGTAATATTACCACTCCCTGCTGTTTTGATACTTAAGAAAAAAACGTTTTCATGGTCCCTGTTAAGTTTTTGAAGGTAACACTCAATGACCAAATCTTGGATGAGAGTGGCCATAAAGCTGAGGTCCTCAACAGAGAAACAGACCCTGATGAAGAAAGAAAACTGAACCTTTGACGGTCTTTTTAATGTGTTT